TATACTGACTTGTTGAACTTCTTCCCTTCTGTTTTAGGTAAAGTGGTTTTATACCCTTATGAGCAAATTAATGTCTCTTGGCAGTTACTTGCATGACTGAGAGGTCACTTGCACACAGCTACTGGTAAATTACAGCTGTTCCTGTGCTGTAATGCGTGTCTACATTGTGGTTACAAGGGTATCTGTGTCTTTGGTTATGGTTAGCACTGCTACAGTCTGTAATAGATTGTCAAACTATAGATATCTGTAGATAGAAAGCCTATGGGCATTTGACCCACTCATTTTGGACTACACATTTTGAAGGTTTGATGTTAGTGTTTTGGTTGCTGGCACGTGGATTTCATGGAACCAGAAGCTTATATGGAAGAAAAAGTGGAGCGCTAAGTCCAGGTAGCTTTGTGGAAAAGTTATTGCATTCAACCCCCTGTAAAGTTCTTATGGAGCAGGAAACCACCCATAGGCTGTAAACATGCTTGTTAATGCTCAAAAGTTAGGCGTTCTAACGAGAGCGTCTGTTGGGAGTTACTTGCTTTCTGGTGCCTCAAGTGGCCACTAGAGGACGTGCAGTTTTTCAGGAACTTCATTTTTAAGTTTCAGAGGCTGCCACTTGGTCATACCACTATTTGATCTCGTAGCCATCACTCACTGTATAGTTGGTACAACGTATCAGGAAGCAGAACCTGTTGTGTAATCTATTTTTATTGTTTTTATTGTTTCCCTTTCTTGGTCACTCATTCATTTGGAGCCTATCCCAGGTCAAGAAGCAGGGTACACCCTGGACAAGTCGCCAGTCTGTCACAGGGCTGACACATAGACAGTTACCAATTAACCTAACCCCACTAACTGAAGCCGGAGTACCCGGAAAAACCCCATGCACACAGCTCCATATGTTCATTCTGGGAGTAGAGTAACTTCAGAGTAACTACAGTAACTAAGAGAGTAACTTTATATGATTTCCCTTTAAAAAAAACAAAAACTTGACCTGCTTATCTTACACCAACCCTTTATGCAGTTCCTTAGTTCATCCACTATCTGAAACAAGCTGCTCATGCTCTTTAACCGCTCCCTCTCAAAAACCCACATTCTTCTGATTGTCCAGTTTCTGGAAGCTTACTGAGGGGCAGTATCCAGATTTATAAGCTTTACTGTTTATATTTTGCAGGTATGTTGCGGCTGAATCAGATGATGACACAAGTATATTACCTGTATTTCTTATTATTTGAAAACCTTTAAAGCAAACATACTGAAACGTCTTTTGCCTGTTTGCTGTAACAAATAATAGTGTTACTTTTCCTGTCAATTAATTACATTTCAAATGATTTTTAAATGATAGGTAATTGATACATTTTTTTAAGCAACTTCATAGATGGGGGATGCCAGCAAAATAATTGTTCAATTTTGTTTAATAAGAAAACAGACAGCCAGTCCACAGGATAAAAATATAAGTGACATAAACAGGGGTGCACATAAGTGGTCCGCAGGTGCGCATTCGCTGTCTATATAAAACACGTGCACTAGATAAGACGTTGCAACGCGCGTTTGCGGACATAAGATTTTCTGGAGGAGGACAGACCTTTGTTTAAAACTCCTAAAGATGTCGAAGAAGCAAGCTCCTTTAAGCAATTACTTTGGTGTTCCTCCACCTCCAAAGAAATGTCAGAAGAGTCCGAACCGCAAAAAAAGCGCGTAATCTCGGAAAAGTGGTTGGAGGAGGTGAGCTGGCTTCAAACAAATGATGAACACACAGAGATGTGGTGCAGAATACCGTCTTTTATTTTGACACCGAATGCGCACCTGCGGACCACTTATGTGCACCCCTGGACATAAATATACTTATGATGAGAAAGTAATGCACTACCTCAACTGAGTGCAGGTATCTCAACCTATTGTGACAGTTTACTAAGTTCTAACAGTAACTTCAGCTAGGAGAGCTCTTGTTTACACTCCTGTCCTCCTCCACTCATCCTTTCCACTCCTTATCATTTATTCCACAGTGTCTATGAGCTTTGTGACATTTAAATACTGAAGCAGGATTTCTCCAGGGCGTATCTTCAATGGAATATACACAGGCACTCCTAACTCCTAACACTGCAGCTTTACGCATGTGCTCTGCAAACATTTATCCTCTTTACAGGCTCAAATGTCAACCTCTGTCTCATGCCTGTGTGGAGCAACCAAAATCAAATTCATTGCAGGGAGCTGAAGAAGAAAACCCAGTCAGACGACTGTCTGCAGTAAACATTATCTTAACTGGCTGCAAATAGGATCTTTGTGTCGCTGGTCAATCCAGGCTTGGATGTTCCGATTTCAGTGGCTCTGTGTGTGTAGAGGAGATCTGGTAGCACTTTAATGTCCAAATCTCTTCTCTACATTTTTATCACCCCTCTTCTCCTGTGGACTTATTTATGACTCATGTTTCTATGACACTACATATATTGCTCATTAATACAAGCAAGCTTGACAGTGAGTCTATTTCCTCACAGTATTCCCAGACAGTGGAGCATTTGTGATGACACGCCGCTGTGTATTGTTGATCATGGTAGTGTGAGTTTGAAAAGCTGGGTGACAATGGCACTTGGCTTTATAGCACCACTGTTTATATTTGGTTTCCCTTCTCACAACTAAATGACTGTAACAACAGTGACTGTGCAGCCACAGCCAATTGCCCACATCTAACTCTAATGCCCAAGTGCTGCTGAAGATCACATTTCACACATTTGAAAAACAAAAATAAGATGTTTGGTATTCTTATATCAACCTGGCGCCGCTCACTGTGACTCACACCGAGTTTACAGTACGATGTGATTTTCTTCCCCACATGTTTTCAGGCAACTATGAGCTTTGCTAATGTTTTAGATCCCTCACTTCTTCTCTGGACCACAGTGTGGGTCACAGTGCAAAAGTACAAGCACCCAATAGGACAGCTCTGCCATCTAGTGGTAAGAAACCCACATTTCTAAAGCACAGTGATTTTTCAACCTGGTTTATCCAAACGAAACAAGTTTAATACACAAAATTTAAAAATGGACATTTGCTGCTGTCAGAAATATTATAAAATATCTTTGATAAAATAAGATAATTTTCACTTTGAATTCACTAATGTCCCATCTAAATGTCTCATCTAGGGAGGGAAAAGAAAATCTGCTACCTTGTTCATCTTCAAATAACATTTTTTAAACCTTTAAACGATGTTGATATTTGAGCCTAAATTAAGACCTTCAATTTAAATTTAAAAAAGGAGTTTTCAAGAGATTGAGGGGTTATTTCAAAATGTGATTATGTTATTTATTTTTTTAATTGTTTAGAAGTTGGATGTGTGTGTGTGTGTGTGTGTGTGTGTGTGTGTGTGTGTGTGTGTGGGTATCTTCAAGTGTCATTGTCTGTAAAATGTTCCGTTTGATGAATAAACTATACATTTAGATATCAACACCCTACCAGCAAAACTGTGGTTTCTCCAGTCCTTCAAATCAGCTCTTGTTCTTTGTTGTTACATCATGAGGCCATATTCAGAGTCACAGTACCAAAACCTATAACTATACCTTTTCTAGATTTTAAAATGCCCTTAAAAATGAAATGAATAAATAAAAAAAAAATAAAAAAAAGTAAATATCCAGCTCTTAGTCCAAGAGCACCTTTGGGATTTGTAGGACATTCAATCGACTAGCAGAGAAATTACCTTTCATTTGTACTGTTATTCACACAACCATTACCGTTCTGTCTCTGAGATACCCCGAGCAACATTGATAGATACCCTTTTAGCCAAAGATGCTAGTCTCAAAAGCACTGTGTCAAGGATCTGCAATACACTAGCTCCCAAGTAGGCTTTGAATACAGTTCTAGAACAAGAAACAAGAAACTGTATCTCCACTTTTAAGATTAGGCTTGAAACTTTCCTTTTTTGCTAAAGCTTGTTGTTAGTGCTGGATCAGGAAACCCTGAATCCTCCCTTAGTTATGCTGCAATAGGTGTAGGTTGCTGGGGGATTCCCATGATGCATCCTATGAGTATTTCTTCCTCAGTTACATTTATTACCCACTATGTGTTAACAGACCTCTCTACACTGAATCACACTTGTTATCAATCTCTGGTTCTCGTCCACAGCATGTCTTTTATCCTGTCGTCCTTCTCTCTCCCCAACCAGTTGCAGCAGATGGCCCCGCTCCTCCCTGAGCCTGGTTCTCCCAGAGGTTTCTTCCTGTTAAAAGGGAGTTTTTCCTTCCCACTGTCGCCAAAGTTTTTTTCACAGGGTTTTTCCCTGTATGTGTTATTGTAGGGTCTACCTTACAATATAAAGCACCTTGAGGCGACTGTTGTTGTGATTTGGAGCTGTATAAATAAAACTGAACTGAAAATTGAATTGAATTGAATCCACCTTACCAAACCAAAACGTTTACCCCAGCATTTAGCCCACTCAAGTCCAGTGCAAACGTATGTTTTGGACTTGTTTTCGGTTTAAATGTATTATTTTGGTATCAAACATGCATAACATAGATCTAATAAGAGTTCAAAACCTCTTCACCTTAAGGTAAAGAAGATCAAATTCACTTATATATGTGTGACTAGTAAACAATGCTCTCTGCGAAATCTGCTGCTATCACAATTCCAACTTAATCCAAATAATCATTTCCCCTTTCTGTGAGGTTTTTGGCTTATTATTTATCATGTTACATGTTTATGATATCTGTAATAGTTACTTGTTAATTCTTAACAGTAATGGTTTGTTTTAAATGTTTTTTCTGTTAGAGTTCATCTTCTCAACAATTTATTATCTTGTATTCAACTGCTAGGATACTTCAGAGAAAGTCCTGAGCAGTTTGACATTTATTTCAAGGTAAATTTATGAGGCAGTTCCCTATGAAGACAAAAAAACAAACAAATAACCAAAAATAAAACCCATCTAGTAGCATCACACTGCAGAGCACAAGTTTGATTCCACGATTAAGCCCTATTTCATCTCTGTTGTACTCACTCATACGCTTCTTCCTTGTGTGTCCCCGCAGGCGGAACAGGAGAGAAGGATCGGGCACCCATCAGCCATGAATCCTTCCTGCTCATGGCAAACTCCCAGAGCGATATGGACGACTGGGTCAAGGCCATACGGCGGGTCATCTGGGCACCATTTGGAGGAGGTAAAGCCAAACCTTTGAACTGAAACACGAAAAAAACATATTAGGCCACCAATCAGTAGCAACTAAAAATCCATATTTCTCTAAGGAAAATATACAAACACAAAAGCCAAGCTAACACTGCTTTTGTTCATCATCTTTGTGTAAAAGAAAGCAAGATATATTATTCATATTTCTTTGCCAGCAATAATTCAAGGCGTGCCTTCCAGTGCAGGAGATTTCCTCTCTGCCTTATAAGCTCAACACATCGCCCAAAATATATAAAACTTGCTCTTTCTGCTAGAATAGAAAAGACTGCAGTCCACATCTCTGCTCCGTCTTTAATGTTTAGGTAACACACTTGAGCTGAGCTATGCAAACTATCTCCAACCCCAACTCTGTCTCATTTCTTTAGCCTGCAGGTAATTCTCACCCTGTCTGCTCGGGATGCCTAAGGCCAGAAATATAACCAGGCCTGTCTGGTTATGATGTGGGGCATAAGGAGCAGCTGAGCAGGAAGGTGTTGGGTTACAAAGCAGCTCTATATTAACAGGGGGATAAATGTAGAATAACACATAAATAATATACTGTATGATATCATTAATCTAATTTTAATCCTTGTCTTTAGTAAAGCATGTTTAAGAGCTGCTGGCAACTAGCAGACCTATTCTTTATGAAAATGAGTCATTTATCTTTGTTTATTCCCTCAATTTTAGAAAATAACAACACCCAAAAAAAGAAGTTCTGTAAGCTTGGCTGATGGAAAAATAAGGGAAGATCTATGACAAGCATGACTAGCTTAAATGTCCACACAAGAAACACAAATAACAGACGTTTATAAATAGCTAGCATAGGCCTAATTAATTAAGAAAAAGTTGCAATACCACAATGCTATGCACAGAGGTTAGCACTGCTCTCACAAAACAAGAAGTTTTAAATGTGGGCTTGAATCCACTAGCTTGCTGGGGTCTTTCTGTGTGGAGTTTTCATGTTCTCCCTGCGTCTGTGTGGGTTCTCTCCAGCTTACTTCTACAATCCAAAGGCATCCAGTTAGTAATTGAAAGGTCCCAAATTACCATTAAGTGTGAATGTGAGTGTAACGTATTTGTGTCTGTGTTAGCCACCCCCTCAATTTGGATAATAGAAGAAAATGGATAGATAGATTTTATACTTGGTGCATGAAGAAATGAGAGTAAAGAGTCCTGGGTCATCTTTCCAGTCACACTAATGTTTATCATTTTGGACAATGACAGCATTTCTCACTATCTGAACTTTTTCAATACCCCCAAAAAGATTGGAAAAATAATAATTCATTTTAATCTTGTAATAAATATGTGCTAGTTTTTTGTCTATGCTAGCTTTTTATTAAAACGCTAGCATTTTGTGCTAGCAACTGATAAAATTCTAACAGCATTTTTGTCCAGCTTTTTGTTAACTTTTCTGAAATGCTAGCTTTTTGTGCTGCTAGGACAAAAAGCTAGCATGTTTTTTTCTAGATTTTTGACCGTTGAAAAGATGGCAAAAAATGCTAGCTTTTGTGTAGGTCTTCGAAAGGAAA